TTCTCTAGAATATTCCACAATATTCTACACAATTCCAATAATTTCAAGTATTAAGTGGTTTAAGTTTGGCTTAATTTCTTATTCACAAAACAAGGAATTTCCACTTAAATCATTTCAATTGGTTTCAACCAATTTCCAATACAAAATTCCAACAAATGGTGCGATTAAAAACTCTTTAAGAATGCTTCTCTTTTCCATACCTTCAAGAAAACAATAATCTCAATAACCTACGCCCTTCACAACAGTAGAAAAACTCAACCCTTTTATCCGGCTCTCCCTAGATTAGTAACCTCAATTGTAATGAAAAAAAACTCCTCTCACACTTTTTCTCTAGAAAAGGTTCACAAATTTTTTCTCCATTTTTGATCTCTCCATGTTTTTTGATGTTCTTTTGTTACTTATTTTACGAAGTCAAGAAGTACGCTCAGCTTCAGTAATAGCAAAATAAATTGCGGGATCCGAATGACAAATATTTGAACGTCTCTATCAGACTTGTTCAATATGTAGGACAATGTGATAGCTATGTTCTTGCAATAAGGTATGTATCTTTGTTAAGGTTCAAAAATGCGTAATGCATGACAATATGTTTCGGTCGAATATCAAGTATTACAAGCATATGCGTAATTATGCGTTTCTGAATTTTTAATATTATTTTAAATACTCTAAACTAATAAATAAATAAAATAATGCATTATTTGCACTTTATATATGTCATTCAAATTTTCAAAAAAAGAACATATTGCGAGAACATAGTGGACTATTCACGTTTGACGTATTCTTAACTATTTTCGCTATCTGTATGAACTATTCGATATATCTATAATGTAGTACTTGAAATAAGTTTCGAAATGNTTGACGTATTCTTAACTATTTTCGATATCTGTTTGGACTATTCGATATATCCATAATGTAGTTCTTGAAATAAGTTTCGAAATGATATAAGTGATTTGTAGATTCAATTAGCGTACGATCGTCGGGGAATTTTTAAAATTTACGTATATTATCGAAAGTCAAATTTATTTTGATTTTGCCCCCGTTTGGTGGAGATTAATATCAAATTTTTAGTAAATTTTGATAAAAGTTAAAAATTTATGGATTTCATGAAATATGTTATTAAAATTAATTGTTAACTTTAATTAAAATTAAATTTTAGATTTCATTCGATACCAAACATGATTGTATATATAAAAAAAAATTGTAAAAGTTGGCAGCTTTGCCTTGCCAAAAACAAGGCAAAGCGTATAAGCTTCTCCAGCGCACCATACGCAGGAGAACGGAACTGATAAAGTTTATTAGTTTAATTAGTCAAAAAATATGCATTTGTACACCACTCACGTCTCAAGGCACAAATTCACTTGATAACACTCTTCGCCAGTGACTCATTAATGGGAAATCGTTTCATTTAATCCTAGTAAAGTATAAATTTTTTTTACACCGTTACGAGTCTAATAAATATTTTAT